CATATGAAGGTCTGGTAGTCCTACCTTATCTGAAGAGGTATATATTACTGTTGGTTATTTAAATCATACCGTTCATATCTGAAATGTAATATTACAGAGTGGAATATATTATAAAAGATGTATTTTATAATTTTTGATATTCTTCATTCGTTACTGACTCTTTCCCTTTCGAGTAAGATAACAGAGCATCAAACTTTGCAAACTTGTTCCACTTGTCATAATATTATCAAATCTGCCCGATTGGTCAATTATAAATCCAAGATGGCAGCCATATTCAGGATTGCTACCATATTAACCTTATATTGTTGAAATGGGCACATTTTTTAGGTAGGTCGAAATCTGTTTTTGTTTGAACTATATACCAAAATCTGGAGAAATATGTCTTCTAAAGTATCTTTTTAATTAAAAAAATCAAACCGCTCATTTTTTAACACTAAAACTATTTTAAAAATTAACGTTAACCTTTTAAAAGTACGCTACCTCTTAGGATGACCAAATATAGGAAATTTGAAATTTTTTTTAAAATGAGTCTTTGTTCAGTAAAAAGGAAAAATAAAAACTTTACGGCAGATTTAATCTATAATCCAATAAATCCATAAAACTAAGTAATTTTGAACCAGCCTTTATCGTTTTATATCGAGATTTTATTCTGTAGTCATAGCACCTGGTAATTCCAACTAATGAATTTAAACATTTGTTGATCATGTTTAAGACTTCAAATTTTATGTCCATTCTTAGAGGTAGTATTCTTTTAAGTTCGTTATTGTTAGGTTTTAATAAAACTAATGTACGGATTTAAGCACAATAAACGCCTAATTGTAGAGAAATATATTACCTATATTGTAAAGGTTTTAAGTAATAATATTTAGCCATTATAGCCAAACACAAAAACTAGGTCAAATGATTAATTTACAATTTTTAAACAAATTATCGTTATGGCTCATAAACACAGAGTTATTTAGACTGTAAGTTATTTATCTATAAGTACCAGTTTCAACTTGAGAGCTAGTAACATCTTGTTGTATATTCTCATATGAAGGTCTGGTAACATATTGTTGTATATTCTCATATGAAGGTCTGGTAACATCGTGTTGTATATTCTCATATGAAGTCTGGTAACATCGTGTTGAACATTCTCATATGAAGGTCTGGTAACATCGTGTTGTACATTTTCATATGAAGGTCTGGTAACATCGTGTTGAACATTCTCATATGAAGGTCTGGTAACATCGTGTTGTATATTCTCATATGAAGGTCTGGTAACATCTTGTTGTATATTCTCATATGAAGGTCTGGTAACATCGTGTTGAACATTCTCATATGAAGGTCTGGTAACATCGTGTTGTATATTCTCATATGAAAGTCTGGTAACATATTGGTGTTCGTTCTCATATGATAGTCTGGTAACATATTGTTGTTCGTTCTCATATGATAGTCTGGTAACATATTGTTGTTCCTTTTCTCATATGATAGTCTGGTAACATCGTGTTGAACATTCTCATATGAAGGTCTGGTAACATCTTGTTGTATATTCTCATATGAAGGTCTGGTAACATCTTGTTGTATATTCTCATATGAAAGTCTGGTAACATATTGGTGTTCGTTCTCATATGATAATCTGGTAACATCTTGTTGTTCGTTCTCATATGATAGTCTGGTAACATCGTGTTGTATATTCTCGTATGAAAGTCTGGTAACATATTGTTGTTCGTTCTCATATGATAGTCTGGTAACATATTGTTGTTCGTTCTCATATGATAGTCTGGTAACATCGTGTTGAACATTCTCATATGAAGGTCTGGTAACATCTTGTTGTATATTCTCATATGAAGGTCTGGTAGTCTCTACATTATCTGAAGAGGTATATATTACTGTTGGTTTATTTTAAGTATACCGATCATATCTGAAATGTAATGCAAATAGAGTGGAATATAATTTAAAGTGTTGTGTTTTATAATTGTTAATATTCTTCATCCGTTACTGACTCTTTCTCTTTCGAGTAAGATAACAGAAAAGTCGTGAAAATGATGACACAAGCATCAAACTTGGCAAACTTGTCATAATATTATCAAATCTTCCCGATTATCTACTTGTAAATCCAATCTAATTCCGCCATATTAAGGATTGCTGCCATATTAACCTCATTTTGCTGGAAAGGGGCTTTGCTTTTTTTTTTGGTAGTACGAATTTTTTTTTGTTTAAACTATATACCAAAATCTGGAGAAATATGTCTTCTAAAGTATCTGAAACTTTTAACTAAAAAAACCAAACCGCTCATTTTTAAAGCCAAAACTATTTTAAGTTAACGTTAACCTTTTAAAGGTATACTACCTCTTAGGATGACCAAAAAATGGAAATTTGAAAAATTTGTTAAAATGAGTCTGTGTTCAGTAAAAATAAAAAATAAATACTTAACGGCAGAATTCATCTATAATCCAATAAATCCATAAAACTGAGTAAGAATTCATTTAACTAAGAAATTTTGAAACTTTATCGTTTTATATAGAGATTTTATTCTGCAGTCATAGCACCTGGTAATTCCAACTAATGAATTTAAACACTTGTTGATCAAGTTTAAGACTTCAAATTTTATGTCCATTCTTAGAGGTAGTATTCTTTTAAGTTCGTTATTGTTAGGTTTTAAGAAAACTAATGTACGGATTTAATCACAATAAACGCCTAATTGTAGATAAATATATTACCTATATTGTAAAGGTTTTAAGTAATAATATTTAGTCATTATAAAGCCAAACACAAAAACTAGGTCAAATGATTAATTTACAATTTTAAAACAAATTCTGTTTAATCACATAGACACATGGATGTAAATAGCATACTTCAAAAATATTTTCTGGTATAATTTACGACGTTCCGGATAATGAAAACTTTGCATACTGCCCCATTATTAGTTTATATTATCTATCTGTGAGTTTCTATGTTTTCAAGAAGCTTACATTCCTGTCTATATAGTATACCTTCAAAGCTGAAATTCACAGTAGTGATGTCACCAATCTGCCTTGATAATCACTCCTTTGCCAGCTTCAGTTTAGTAGCTATACTATATTCCATACACACAAAGGTTTTTCTTTATATGCTCCTATTAGCCCAACGCGATTTAACAGGTTATTGCTGCTGCCGTGCTGTGGATCGATGGTGATGACCAGAGTGAGTTCATCCAATGGATTTGGATACCTCTAACACGTTGTCCTTACGATCCAGTCATACAAGTGTTTGAAAATATTTACAAAATTCTGCATAATGAGAAAAATATATAAACAGGACAATCAACTTCAGGTTGAAAACATATGAATTCACAGACAGATCATGTAAATCGACTCACTACAATTACTGTTAAGCAAAATGTGAATAATTTTGGTAAATGTATCATTTGCACAAGTGATTCACAAAGAAGATAAAAAGGTTGACATTTTTTTTATGTAGATAAGAAATGATATAGTCAAAGAATCCGTTGTGGTCTGAATTATCAAGTTTCGGAACCTCATTTCTAAATTGTGGTTACTTCCATTTACTGATAAAAGTACAAAGGTACATAACTACAGTAAATGGTTTAGTTAGATTCAGACCACTGAAATACTCTTTGTGCTATTTTAAGAAATCATCTTTTCTCTCCCTTTTGGGGTTTTTGTAGTTTTGACTAATTTTTGGTCTAGATTTGGAATTCTATGTCTGATATTGCATTATTCTGTGTTAATTATCGATAGTGGTCTACTTTCAATTTAACTAGCTCTCAATTGTCATCTTCATGATATATGAAAA